TAATGCTCTAACATTTCTTCCTGTCATTCATACCGAAGAAAATGGGTAAAACCAGACTACAATGCAAGAGAGCAATTAAAAAGTATAAGACATGTACAAAGATGTTTATAGCAGCACTATTTATATTAATAATAGCAAGCAATGGGAGCAGTCCAAATGTCCACCAATGACAGAGTGAAAAAATAAATTGGCGTACATAGGGCAGTATAAAGAGCAAAAGCTGTGTCGTGTAATATTTTAGCAATCTGACAAACAGGCATAACTGACAAATGTTCCAAAATTTCTCTACTGACTGACAAACTTGAGCTAAGGGCATGTCAGATATTTCCTTTCCCCATTTCACTGTCTCAGTCCATTTTGAGCATTCACTCCGGTGCATAACGACTACCCATTACCATCTCATCCTATTCCTCATTCTGTCAACGACTTTCAGTGAAAGGCGCTCTGTAAGGTTACGCAGCGCCCGCCGCAATTTCTTAACCCTCATTCTTTTACATAATACAGATTCGGCAACAGCTACACTTTGGGAGGCCTTTAGCAAAAGCAATGAGTTAGGAACACGTGAGCGGCACCAAATAGGCCAGTTGTTCCTGGGACCCAGCCAACACCTCCAGTCATCAGCAATCACACAGGTACTCTACACACAACGAGCTCCAGGTGGCTATGTACATGCACAGCCAACGACAGAAAAACATCGCAACTCAATATCCACAAACCCCAGGCTTCGGGCCTCACACAACATCACCTTGGTTCTCCGGTTTTGGCTTCCGGTTGCGAAATTCACTCTTTCCAGCCGCTTTGTCCGGCTTGTCCAGCGAGGAAGACGCCATTTTCAAATTGCTTCCGGTGGTACCGGAAATGAGACTGTTCTTAAATCCCCCCGGCTAAAATCGCTGCACTCAAAATGAGTTCCGCAGAACGCAGACGAGGAGATCTGCGCAGTCTCTGTACGTACGTACGCACGCTAAAGCCCGCGTATTTGCACAAACTAAAACGCTTCTCATATGTGGCCAATGGAGAGCGGGAGACTTCTTTCCCGGAATTCACTGCAACCACGGAGTTTGACTGCATGCTGGGAATTGTAGTGTAGCAGTACGGTCTTCTTAGTCAATTTGTCGCGGCTTCATGCTCTATGCTGGAACGCTGGACTGCAGAGTTTGGCCACGGAGTGCAACCAGACTATCATTGATGTCACTAATTGATTCGTTCGATAAATATTTATATGATCTCCAAATGTATGTTAGGCGTTGGGAGACGGTACAATACTAGAAAACAATGTATGTAGTCCTTGAGGGCAAGAAATGACTTAATAGCTACTACTTATTGAACAGAGACTACTTTTCTCCAGCATTTTATTTACATTATTTCTAATCCTTAAAACAAAAATATTAAAACAAACAGAACTCTGTGAGATCGATAATTTTGTGGAACGTAAATTTGCAAAGTCCTTGTTAATGATGGTAATTTTCTAGGGTGTTGGTATTCCTAAGTCAGAGGGATAGTAATTAAGCAATAGTTCTGAAGTATTTCAAATAGCCTAAGATTTTCCCAAATGTCTAACTCCTGACCATCCCCAACATTGCATATGGCTGGCTTCAAGATGTGCGGAGAGAAGCCAGGCTGGTGCCCTGGGCCCATAGTCCCAGCTACTCGGGA